TCTCTCCCTCTCTCTCTCTCCCTCCCCCTCTCTCTCTCTTTCTCTCTCTCTCTCTATCTCTCTCTCACTCTCTCTCTCTCTTTGTGACAGTCACGACATATTAAGATTCAGATGATGGCATTCCTGTATTGGCCGAGAAAGTTCATTAGAATTTTCCGGCGTGGCTTCCCCTTGTCAGTGTTGCAGAACGGAGGGCCTGACAAGGAGAGCTGTCTAGTCGTTCAGATGTAACGAAACACCGTGGACCCGTGTATACATTGGCGTGTACGTAAAATATCCCTTGGCAGTTGGAATTCGATATAAGAGAAAGCCATAGTGCCACTGCCCGGGCAAAATATTCCCTCGTAGCACACTGTATGGCGTATGCCCGTCTTCATTAGCCCAGTCGGAGCAGAACAGTAGAACGTTAAACCCCATTTTATTTCATTTCATTTCGATGGCAGGAATTGCTATATTTACAGATTATTGTATGCATTTACGTCGTTAATTAGACGCCCTGGGCACACGGGATTGGGGTTTGGAGGTGGGCATTCGAGCGATGGGGTAATGGTTTCTCGCCTAGAATATCCCCTGACAGGTGACCTGATAAATTCGGAGGGAGTTATCAGGCCCGGGAGGTTGTACCCGGGATTCTAAGGATCATACGTGACTGGACCTCTGTTTCTCGTACAATCTGATGGACTAGGCCAGACTTGAAACACGCTATAATAGTTCTTCTCGTTCCACGTCGCGATCCAAATCCGGCACATTTAACAGTCCAGTGTTCTGTCGCCCGGTTTAAACGACCCTCAAAAAGGGGTGTGATGTGTTCTATGATACGTCGCACATACATATAATTTTGTCATTGTATTGAACGACTGAAAACTGGCTCCTGTCGGACAGTGGCTTGTACAGAACAATGGTTGATACAGGACAATGTTTGTTATATTAACATGGTTGTACAGAACAATGGTTGATACAGGACAATGTTTGTTATATTAACATGGTTGTTTAAGGAAAATGGTTTTTGATAGCAAAATGGTTAATATATGAAGGAATTGGTTGATACTTGGCAATGGTTGATAAAGAAAATGTTTGACATAAAACAATGGTTGTTACAGGTAGGCAATGGTTGATATGGATTAATTAGAATGGTTGACATAGTAAACCGTTGATATAGGAAATGGTTGATATATGACATTGGTAGATATATTCTAGTATTAGGATGACTGGCATAGTAAAACGGTTGATATAGGCAATGATTCATATATGACAATGGTTGATATGGGCAATGGTTGATATGACAATGGTTGATACAGGTAATGGTTGATATATGACAATGGTTGATATATGACAATGTAGGCAATGGTTGATATAGGCAATGGTTGATATGACAATGGTTCCTATAGGAAAATGGTTGATATAGGACATTGGGCGATATACGACAATCGTTCATATAGGAAAATGGACACCAATACATGTTGTTTGGGAGTTGTCATTTTATAAAAGTGGGTTATAATATTTATCTAACCACATTTATATAATTTTCTTACCCTCCCTTTTCATTTTTACATTTTCGCACGTTCATTGTGTAAAAAAACTGATTCAAGTACGTCCTTCATTACCATGTGTGCAACGTTCCCTTTTTTTCTGAAGAAAACATTGAAATAAGTTTTAATTATCCCATGGTTTTGCACCGCATGGGAAATAATTTTCGTTTAGTCATTATGTTATCTTGATGTATTTTTTGCTGTTGTGAACTTGGTCACGCTTTACTTTATTTGTACCTTTACCGGATTCGATGAATGAAATTATGTGGTTGTATACGCTTAACGGTGAGTACCGTACACGGGACAGTGTATGCTTACATATGAGACATGGAATGGGTTTTAAACTGTCAATACAGGATTTTGAGACTATTTTTTATTTGTGTGGTTACGGCGTGTGTGTCCGTGTACGATCGTGGAGTGAGGAGAGAGAGAGAGAGAGAGAGAGAGAGAGAAATGGGGGTTAACATCCACTTTACACAACAAGCACATTTCGGGACTAACATATGGTTCGATTTTATTTCAATAATTCGCTTGCGCGTAGGGGTCTTTAGCAGTAGGAGGAAATCAGAGGACCAGGAGAAATCCCACGAGGTTGGACGTGGAGCGAGGAACGCCGGGATGACCGGACAGCGTAGTTTCTGGCAATTGTATTTCAATTCTAAGTGCCAAGTGATATATGTGGTCTACGCCAATGTTTTTCGTCCCATCCGCACGGCTAGGTCATTGATTCGATACCTGATATGAACGTATGTGACTTGTGGCGCTTGCTTCGTTATTTTAGAATTACATTATATGTTCTTAAAATACAGATGTGATCACGCCATCCTTTGATGTTGGCGTACCATTATTTCCAGTAATGTACGGACAACCTGCCAATTGTACATTATCTATACTAGATGAAATATTGGACTCTCGTGACGTATTTCATTGAAAAGGACGTCTGTATTTTAATGATCTCGAGCTAAAGACTGCGTAATATATTGAAATAACATTCGGCTAACGCCTCGTGCAGTATCAATATATTACTAAATGTCTCGCTCTCGACCATTAAACCATACATAGGAAATGAAATATAACGGGGTTAAACGTCCTACTATTCTGTTGATAACGGGCCAATGAAGACGGGCATACGTCATGCAGTGTGTTATGAGGAAAATTGTGTCCGGACAGTGGCACTACGGTCTACTCTTATTTCGAATTCCAACTGTCAGGTGTTCTTTTACGTGCATGCCAATGTGTAATAGACCATCAGAGAGAGAGAGAGAGAGAACTATGGCAAAACTTAAAACAATGATAACGTCACTTAGAAAAAAATAATTGGAATGCGATTTTTAGTATATTAACTTTGGATATATTATTATCTATTTTTGAGAGAGAGAGAGAGAAATGGGGTTTAACGTCCACTCGACACAAACTAGGTCATTTCGGGACTAACACATGGTTAAATTTTATTTCCATAATTCGCTTGCGCGTAGGGATCTTAGCAGTGGGAGGAAACCGGAGAACCCGTAGGAAACCCACGAGGTTGGACAGGCGACGCTACTCCTTGTCACGTTCAACCGGGGAATCGAAACTACGCCCATTGACTCAATGACAGACCTTATGATACAACGCACACACGCTAACCATTCGGTCATCCAACCACCCCTGTAATAGACCATCAGTGGGTACCCTGATAATGACTTGTTTATCGTGAAGGTTGGGTTTAAATCCGTATACCGTCATTGAGTCGATCCCTACGGAGCCCCTTGTATCAAGTGGACGATAAGCCCCATCTCTCTCTCTCTTCTCTCTCTCTCTCTCTCTCTCTCTCTCTCTCTCTGTCTTGTCTGTGCACCGTTTAAAGGGAGATAATAGGCGTTTACGTTTTGTTTTCTAGCTTGTTATTAGTTACAATTTAAGATTTCGTAGAGTAACAATGATATTGACCTACCCCCACCCCCCACCCACCAGAAAACCTAGAAACACTGTTTGTTCCCATGCCGTTTCGCTAACCCATTCAGTAAATGTGACTGTAAATCTACGTCGAGGTCCAAGCCTTTAGAGATGACACTTGTCTGCGATATCACCTCGGTGGAAGCAGACGTTATACACAACTAACTCACACATAGCGATATTGTTATTGGTATGACGTGATTGATAAACAGATCGAAATGATCTCATCGATTCGGTGTTTCAGTCTCCTTGTGGACTGGCTATTAAAAGAGAGAGAGAGATGGGGTTTAACGTCCACTCGACACAAACAAAGTCATTTCGGGACTAACATATGGTCCAATTTTATTACAATAATTCGCTTGCGCGTAGGGGTCTTTAGCAATGGAAGAAAACCGGAGGACCCGGAGAAAACCCACGAGGATGGACAGGCGACCCTACTCCTTGTCACGTACAACCAGGGAATCGAAACCACACCAGTTGACTCAATGACAGACCGTATGATACAGCGCGCACGTGCTAACTATTCGGCCATCCACCCCCCTGCTATTAAAAGAAGTCGTCATGTTTTGATTGCAAGATGTCAATTTAAGGATTTGTTCCAAACTGTCTCTGACATAGCTCTAGGGCTGGATTATGGAGCCTAAAAGATTCTTTGCTATATATTTCAATTCGCTGAAAAGTCTATGACTGTGCTGACAAAATATCCCTTAAATATAGCTAGCACGCAGTCAGAGGATAGTGTCAATTTTCAAATCACATTCCATTCCCTGCCATCGTTAGTTTGGTTTTAAGAATAGCGGAATCTAAGCATTTAGGGAATAATGAAATGGAATTTAGTTTCATGACTCATTGAGTATTCATGTAGGCCAATTCATGACTAGTATATACGCTTATTTTTATCAGAAAACCGTGTATTTGGTTTAAATACTTGGATGTTAGGGGTTCCAGTCTAATAAAAAAGTTCACTTAGAAAGATAAAGATCCTATAAGAGTCAACGGCTCACTCCGCCAAGAGACAAGGACTCACTCCGCTGGGAGACAAGGGCTCACTCCGCTGAGAGACAAGGGCTCACTCCGCTGAGAGACAAGGGCTCACTCCGCTGAGAGACAAGCATTCACTCCGCTGAGAGACAAGGGCTCACTCCGCTGAGAGACAAGGGCTCACTCCGTTGAGAAACAAGGGCTCACTCCGCTGAGAGACAAGCATTCACTCCGCTGAGAGACAAGGGCTCACTCCGCTGAGAGACAAGGGCTCACTCCGCTGAGAGACAAGCATTCACTCCGCTGAGAGACAAGGGCTCACTCCGTTGAGAAACAAGGGCTCACTCCAAAAGTCTATTTTTAAATTAAATCATTAAATGGCAATCACATCTCATTTGGTTTAAATCTCTGCCATCGGATGATCTAGAGGGTTGATTAAGGGCTTAATTGTCATGTGAATAGATGTCTTAATAATAATGTATATAATGTTTGAAACCAAAAGAACGATCTGGCTTGCCATTATGCATCGGACCACGTGACAAATACTTGGACAAATAACGATTTGGCAAATTTTATTTTTTATCGATGAATCATATGTTCTAAAATATAATTTTTCATGACTACATTGTTGCTGTTAGTTGCACGACATGTCGCAGCAGCCGAAGGCGATTGTCTGATTGCTCTGTATCCAAATGAAAGCGTGTTATGCAAAAATGCTTATACTAAAATACGTTAAGAATTCAGCCTTTTCATTGGATAAAACAACACTCAGTAAACTTACAAATTTCGATCTCATCCAACACATCTTCAGACTTTACTCTTGAGATATTTTAGTGTAAGTTTTCTTAAATCAAGTTCAAGGTCAATTACCGGAAGTTGATATTCAGCACGATGAGTTTTCAGGGTCACCACACCATTGTTCTATTCGGTTGTAAAGAGTTCCTTCAGGACAGTCCATAACATAGGCCACGTTATTTACACAGGCTAAAAATCGCGAACAGTCACCACTCAGCTGGAACAAGCCATCGGGTTCTGGACACACGATTCCATGATTTGAAACGTGGGTTTCTGTCGCTATACAGTTCCCCACGATGGAATCGAACAAGGTGCCGTTAGCACACTCGACCCAAATGGCAATACCCCGATCACATTGGTAGAAGGCAGCCATGTTTGACGGGTCGGGGAAATAACCATTCTCCTCTGGACAGTTTGGATCCTGGCCAATAGTCTGTGCTATTAGTCCTGTAATTAAATATATCTACGTCCATTACCAGGCGTTAAAGGCGCTTGAAACATTAACAAATCAGAGAGATAGAGAGAGAGAGAGAGAGAGAGAGAGAGAGAGAGAGAGAGAGTCATTTCGCGACTAACATATGGTTCAATTTTACCTCAATAATTCGTTTGCGCGTAGGGGTCTTTAGCAATGGGAGGAAACAGAAGAACCCGGAGAAAACCCACGAGCTTGGACAGGCCACTGTACTCATTGTCACGTATAACCGGGGAATCGAAACCTCGCCAGTTGACTCAATGACAGACCCTATGATTCAGCGCACACGCGCGAACCATTCGCCCCCTCCTCCCCTCCAAAAATGATGATACACTGAATTCGTCTGCGATGTTACTCTCGGTGGAAATGGACGCTAATCCATATAAACGAGTTAAGTAACCTTAAATACAAATATAGTGCTCATTTTCACACGATTCAGTATTTTAATTTGATATTATATACAATACAAGGTAAGCGTGTGATATACTTTTAACTCCATTGTTTTGTGACGAGTGGACGTTAAACTCCATTCCGCTCTCTTTTTAATTCCATTTTAAAGATGGGTTCCCAGAAAAGTATTTATCGGGTGGTTATTTCCAATAAAAGTATGGTAATTTTGGTGTATATGGAAAGTAGAGATATCCAATCTTACTAGAAAAATACTGGATTCCCCGAAAAACACCCATGGAGCGTATACAGGACAAAAATGTAAGGGTTCCCCTAATCAACAGCCCGACGATTAGGAATTTCTGCACGCGTGATGTCAAAGGTCACACGTGAACATTGAGCGCTTGATGTACAAGTTGATAAACTTTATGAAGAGTTAGACGTACAACACTTTATGAGATAAAAATGACGGAAAAAGATGCGGGTAGTGGATAATCCGAGAATTTAATTAGGATTTGATATTTGTAATAAATAGTAAGCGATTAAAGACAACATCGTCTTATGTATACAATGAATTCTCCTCTGACTTCCAAGAGAGGTAATTCACGTGACGAAAACATGACCAGGTTTGATCGACTTTTTATAGCAGGACATTCCTTCGCAATTACAATGTTTGAGAAGGATTTGAAGCAAAGTTATGACAAATTAATTAGTTTGAATATGTCTTTAGTCCATTATATACCATTAAATCACCCAGTTTGTACGTGGGAACCCATCTTTAATATCTGGGACTGTCCCTTTAAGCGAGAGAAAACAGTATATATATTTACCCATAAGACACAATACTGCACAAAATGTTCCTCGTAGGTTTACCATGATGACAATTATAAGCAATCAGCCTCTACATAGAAAAAAAACCAGAAGATAATTTGAATTACAAATTTGACTCTTTTGATAAATATATTTACTGGATATAAATTGGTATTTAGCATCCTTGCATTATATCACTTTTTGCTAGCGCAGACTACAGATTAGGAACTTTAGCTTCTGAATTCCACGTCCAAACTCTAACACAAGGCAAGGATTTTGTTGCGTATAAAACGGTTTACTAAAATCAGTTTGAATTAAAATGAGAGGAATATAAAGAACTTTGTACAAGATATGTCCTTGTTTGATAAACACGGGATGATATTCAATACAAAACCGCAATCGAACCTGTCGACGAAATAAATAAACCCGGTCCTTCAGAATATTGAGTTCGAGTTATTTCAATTCGACTAACAAGATACGTGTAGAGTTGGTCCTTCATCGTAAAATACGCATCCATGTCTAGTTGAAATATGCAAACCCCTTTTAGCAATTCTAGATCAAAGAATAAATAAAATCATCTCAATTCATTTGTAAACTGTTAATACTATGAAGAACTAACAAGGTATAATCTGTGGTCTGAATCCAGTATATATAGTCAGTGGTCTGATTCCAGAAATATTAAATATATTCAGTAGTCTGATTCCAGAAAATATAGTCAGTGGTCTGATTCCAGAAATAAACAGTAAAAGTGTAAAATTGTAGCACGTACCTGTTGTTAACTCCTCAGTAAACGTTCTGTACATTACAGCTGTTAAATATCATTTATACATACACACTAGGCCCACACATTCCGTTTCTTCTATAACATTTCGGTATCTCAACTTTTAAAGGTTAACTTGTTAAAATAACTCTACCTTTTGTCATTTAAGGCATGTCTTTCTTCCAAAATTGTACGCATTTGTGAAAAACTGTAAGTTAATTAAAGGAAGGCATCTGTTGTTTTTAAATTTTAAATTCGTTCCAAGCACCTCTATTGGTTGCAGTATAATTATTCGTATCGTAAAGGTCAATCCATGTAATAAAAACCCAATGTTACGACTTGAAATGGGGGGTTCGATGGCCGAATGGTTAGTACGTGCGCCTTAGATCACAAGGTCTGCCATTGATTCAACTGGCGTGGGTTAGATTCCCCAGTTGTACGTGACATGGAGTAGGGTCACCTGTCCAGCCTCGTGGGTTTTCTTCGGGTCCTCCGGTTTCATCTGACTGCTAAAGACCCCTATGCGCAATCGAATTATTGAAATACAATTTAGTCATCCACGGTGCCCTAGTTTGTGTCGGGTTAATGCTCTCTCTCTCCCTCCATTTTATTTAATGGTATACATATGCCCCCGGTGTTCTACCTACCCGCGCCTCCGAATCTAGCACAATGGTAATATAAAATGGTCAGAAATATAATACCAAACTACAGATTCATATCATAAATAGTTAGGTTGTAGTCATGGTTACTAATCTAACAAGTTTAGTAACAAATGCTTCACTTAAAAATAACAAGGAGTAGGGTCGCCTGTCCAACCTCGTGGGTTTTCTCCGGGTCCTCCGGTTTCCTCCCACTGCTAAAGACCCCTACGCGCAAGTGAATTATTGAAATAAAAAAAATAAAACCATATGTTAGTCCCGAAATGACCTAGTTTGTGTCGAGTGGACGTTAAACCCCATCTCTCTCTCTCTCTCTATCTCTCTCTCTCTCTCTTTCACTTAAAAATAACAGATTGAACATAATATTGGATCCCATATACAGGCCAGCCTACCTTATACTACATTAATATCACGACAAGATAGTAAAACACTAGCTACGAGAACGTAGCTTAAAACGTTGAGATATACTGATGTGCTTGTTTTTAGCTACGATTGGATGCCTTTAGTTCCAAGTGGCAAACTCAATTTCTTTATTAATGCATGTAACATCTTTAAAATAAGATAAGTTTATGCTATTATGACTAATTAAACTTACAGGGGCCAATGCAGTGGCACAACTATCGCCTAACTCCAAATATTCGCGTTTGAATTAATGAAGCGTTGTTTTTGTCTGACATACACCGCCATTTAAATCCATTCATAGTTAGAGTTCTTTAGACATGCGCCGACACTACACGCCCCTTTTACTTCATTTAAAATCAATATATAATTCAATGATTTGCCAAATCCTGTCGAAATAAAGCAAAATCATCCTTCTTGCCATTTATTATCAGGTCCAAAATAATTTCTTGTTCGGGTTTTAATTCAACATTATCGCCGTAATTTGATTTTATTTTCTGAAATGATTCGCGGATATAACATGTGGATGTCATTTTGTGTGTTGACATGTTCTCCACTTTCGATTGCCTTTTTGATTGGCTGTTATAAAAGCCTTCTATTTAGTCCCGCCTTCATGATGACAGTGTTAAACGTCTGCTGTTTAAAAAGATGGCGACCTTAGTAACGGCTTAACGCCTCGATTTTAAATACGACGATTTGTGCCCGTTTCAGGTAGGATTATATGCTTAATTGTAGTTGGGTGTGGCAGAAATATTATAAATAACAATAATCAATCGTTGTTTTGATGAAAAATATTGTTAATTTTGTTTAAAACTAGCGGGAGTGAATCACTCCGGGAGGTGCTACGTTGAAGATAATAGGAACAATTTTCACCTCGAAACACGGAGGGTTGAGAGATGAGATGTGTTATCTAGTAAAACACTACTGTAACTATTCATTAACAGTTAACATCCGCTTCCATAAAGGGTGATATCGCAGACAGGTGTTTCGTAAGAAAGTTTTCAGAGCGGTCAGTCGTGACAATAGAGGTCCTGGTAAGAAACAGTGCATTGTCGTTCGAATGAGACGAAACGCAGCTGCATGGCGTATGGCCGCCTTCATTAGCCTAGTCGGAACAGAACAGTAAGACGTTAAAGGACAATATTGGTGCCAGTCATTATCACATATGTGATAGAGCTGGTTAAACACATTCCAAATATAATTTTAACACAGAGATCATTGCTACGATAGCTGAGTAATACATGTTTCCTGAGTCGGAAGTGACGAACGCCAAAGGAAAACACGAGGCATCTCTCTATATAACCGACTGATGTGACGAGTGATAACGGAGCCGAATTTCTGCTCACTAATAATTCATTCGAAGACCAGAAGTTGATATATGGGACTGTAAGAGGATACCTGACAATTCAATAAAGTAATTGAATGTCATTAGATAAGAGAACACGAGAAAAATAGAAATAGTCCGTACATTCCCTTGTTTATATTCATTCTATATCTTATAAAAACATGGTAATGCACGGACTTTTCCTGTTTTTCTTTCGTGTTCACTTTTCTAGTGGAAGTCAATTCTTTTGATGAAATGTCAGATATCCTTTCACAATCTTATACAACAACTTTTGGTCTTCGAATGAATTATTAGTGAGCAGAAATTCGCCCGTATATCCAATATCACTCGTCACATCAGTCAGTTATATAGAGAGATGACTCGTGTTTTCCTTTGGCGTTCGTCACTTCCGATTCTAGAAAACTGTATTACTCAGCTATCGTAGCAATGATCTCTGTGTTAAAATTATATTTGGAATGTGTTTAACCAGCTCTATCACATATGTGATAATGACTGGCACCAATATTGTCCTTTAAACCCCATTTCATTAATTAATTTGACCAGCATAGGCCGGGATAGGAAAGGAGCGGGGGGGGGGGAGAGATAAATAGCAGTGGTGCCTACTTAGATGTAATAAGAATAAAGTACGATAGATATTTCTTTTACATAGAATGTTTTTATTGGATAAAATACCCCCATACCATAGTAAAACATTATGAGAAATATGTATAGGTAGGTACAATTACAGAGGGAAGACAGGGACCTTATTCACGAAAACTTAAACTAAGTTATAACCGAAATTTTAAGAAATACTGCAACTTCATTGGATATATGCAAATTGATTTTATTGGTCAGCCAATCGAATTGCAGTATTTCTTAAAATTTCGATTGTATCTTAGTTTAAGTTTTCGTGAATAAGGGCCCTGGTAAACAGTAAAATAGGACCATGAATAAAGTAGGCCCATAAATAAAATTTGTATCTGAAATAATTAATGAATAAAGTGTAAAATGGGATACCTTATGATTATAATAGCCCCGAGATGTTAGTTCAGGTAGAGAAACATATTCATCTAAATATGGGTTAAAATTTTTATTTGGCTAGGCTTATTATACACCATCGTTTAACACCGAACCTCTCGGTCACAATAATAATGGGTTCTGTTGAATAATAAACCGTCTGGGCAATCCATGATAAAGGGGAGACCATTCGAACATACTAAGTATTGACTGCAATCTCCCGGAAGTGAAAACATACCATCGCCTTGGTCGCAACGTGCACCAGAAACTGAATTAACATAAGCTAGTAGATTGCATCTCCTGATGATAGGGTCGAATACACTGCCCTCGGCACATACTAAATTTGTTGGTATGTAATCAACACAGGCGAAAAATCTGGACTGATTCCTTGGATCTTGGTAATGTCCTCTGGCCTGGGGACACTGGAAGTCCTGACCTGACGTCCAGGGAACAAACGCTGAAATAAAAATGAGTTATTTGTAAAATAATATCAAAATACACATAAATGAAGGTGTGCGCTACATACTAGAATAATACACACAATTGGAGGTGTGCGTTAAATACTAGAATGATATACACATCTGAAGGTGTGCGCTAAATACTAGAATAATACACCCAGCTTAAGGTGTGCGCTAAATACTAGAATAATACACATAACCGAGGGTGTGCGCTAAATACTAGAATGATACACACAACTGAAGGTGTGCGCTAAATACTAGAATGATACACACAACTGAAGGTGTGCGCTACATACTAGAATAATACACATAACTGAAGGTGTGCGCTACATACTGGAATGATACACACAACCGTAGGTGTGCGCTGCATACTAGAATGATACACACAACCGAAGGTGTGCGCTAAATAGAATAATACACTGGTGTGCGCTAAATACTAGAAGAATACACATAACTTAAGGTGTGCGCTACATACTATAATATTAGAACTGAAGGTGTGCGCTAAATACTAGAATAATACACATAGGCCTAACTGAAGGTGTGCGCTAAATACTAGAATAATACACACAACTGAAGGTGTGCGTTAAATACTAGAATAATACACCCAGCTGAAGGTGTGCGCTAAATACTAGAATAATACACCCAGCTGAAGGTGTGCGCTAAATACTAGAATAATACATACAACTGAAGGTGTGCGCTAAATACTAGAATAATACACAAGGCACACACTGGATACTAGAATAATATAATATATTTATTCTGTGGCCTATTCCATGTTTTAAGTTGATCTGTTTCATTTGATAACAACGAATCTCCGTTTAAAAGTTTACGTTTATGATGAAATATAATCGATTTTGCGCTTAACTATCGACCCACTTAATAACAAAATAATAAATTCGATTTCCGCTTAATCGTCCGAAACTAAAATAGGATCTGTGTTTTAATCAGATTAGAAATAATACGAAGTTTGTCCGATTCATCAAGTTTTGATTTTCCGACATTCAATGCGGCCACAATTACCTACAATAATTAGAAACGTTGTTTCTTACCTATGGCTATAACAACCAACACAGCTAGTTCTGTCTTCATTTTATTGGTTTAGATTGATGGAAACTACTAAAATATAAAAAAATGTGAAAATGGTCAGAGAGAGAGAGAGAGAGAGAGTGAGAGAGTGAGAGAGAGCCACTCGACACAAACCAGGTCATTTCGGGACTAACATATGGTTAGTGAGGGATCATGAGGTCTGTCATTGAGTCAAATGGCGAGGTTTCGATTACCCACTTGTACTTGACAAGAAGTAGGGTCCTCGGTCCAACCTCGTGGGTTTTCTCGGGGTCCTCCTGTTTCCTCCCACTGCTAAAGACCCCTACGCGCAAGCAAATTATTGAAATAAAATTGAACCATGTGTTAGTCCCGAAATGACATAGTTTGTGTCGAGTGGACGTTAAACCCCATTTTTCTCTCTGTCCCCTTTTCCCTAAAATATTTCGCCCGAGGGGGGCTGCCCAGGCAAAATTCTACCTCTCGCATTGCACATATTTATCATGTTAGTTTAGTCTCAAAATGAGCTCACTATTATTTTGACGACATATTAAAATCCCTATTTCCACCCATTCTGTTCTTAATACAATTGACTTACCGTTAAGTATAAAGTTCCGACTCCAGTCGACAGGACAGCAGGAATCCAGTGTAAAACGACAGAGAAATTCCGGGGATTTATAAAGGCGAGACGACCTACTAGTATTCTATGAAAAGGTCAACATATTTTTAATTTGAGAAATGTCGTACTGGAAGGATATATGTGAGTTATTGTTTGTTACATATCCAGGAGATAATAATAATCTGGACACGTACTTAAACCTTGTACGGATACACGGAGTATTTCGTGACCCCACGACCATATCCTTAACATTTATGGGGAACTGGGGCCAGTTTTACGATAACCGCATCAACCCCAGACTATACGATTGCATCAAGAGTTGATTATGGCCTTCTTTAATTAATGAATGTCTAATTAATAATTTATATAACAGTTATGACTTAAAGAAAGACCACCAATAGGCAGATTTAGTTCTTGCATAATGTTTGTTTAAGGATTATATATTTTCACCGTGGATAATTCCATTAACCTTCAGTCTATATGAGAGGTTGAAGGTATTAATGGACTAGTTTCTACCAGGCGACTCACACCTCCATTTCTACAGACAGGTGCCCGTACTAATGCTATAATACAGTGTAAAAATATCAACAATTTACCCTATAGTGTGATGTTAAGTCACTTAAGTGGCTGTATGGTAATACCGTTAATCCTCTTTAAATATTGGGTGTTGAAGGAGCAGCTAGTTGCCCAATAGCACATCGTAGTGTGGCTTCTTAGAAGGTCACGCTTCATCGGGATCACCCAGGGGTTCCAACGTTTGGACTTTCGAAAAATTCATTTTATTTTATTCCAGTATGGAAATGACATAAACTGTGTTTAACGTCCAACTACTGAAGTCCAACTGTCACAGATTCTTTTAAGCACCGTGGGGGGGGGGGGGGGAGGGGGGGCAACGCGTGCGCGTTGTATCATGAGGTCTGTCATTGAGTCAACTGGCGCGGTTTCGATTCCCGATTGTACGTGACATGGAGTAGGGTCGCCTGTACAACCTCGTGGGTTTTCTCCGGGGCCTTTGGTTTCCTCCCACTGCTAAAGACCCATACACGCAAGCGAATTATTGAAATAACATTGAAGCATGTTAGTCTCGAAATGACCTTCTTTGGAGTGGACGCTACCTCCCCCCCCTCTCTCCCTCTTAAAGCACACAGGACGTCTGACTCTTCCCCCTCTACCTCTAATAATGACCATAGATTGATTGCGAGGTTTTGATAAAAAGGGCAATAACTCAGTAAATAAATGAGGCATGATTATTAGTATAGGCTCGTGGGGGGTGGGGGGACATTTCTCTTTTACAGCGAAACTTTGGATTTTCCTGTTCTATATGTCTAGACGCTTTGATAAAATCTGGGTATAACACTCCCAGACCAAGTGCATTTTTTTCTGCACAGCCATATTATGATAATGACTTGACGCCAACCAGCCTAAATAGCAAAACATTCAAGGTTTATTAAAACAATTTATTAAAAGAAGGAAGACTAACCAGGCATTCATTCTATCTGCCTATATCTAAATCAACAATAAGAAAGCCTTTAAATAAGGCACCTGTCACAGACAATGCCAGGCACAGATTCGAGCACTGTCAGGCACTAAACCTCTGCCTGACATTTCGTCAGTTACATCTAAAAACCTTTATTTCCAGGCCTGACAATAAGGAAGGAAGACGAAGTGATTCGGTAGACAATTTGTATGAAATGAGAAAAATGAAAAATATAAAACAAATAGAGTTTGCAAAATTACAACAATTCACACCTCCTCCTTGTCAAAATCAAGTTCTTTTATGAAAATATCAATTATCCATAATCTAGACAATATTTATAACACATATTTCCTTTTCCAATATGTAGGATGCGAATAAAAAAAACGTTCTTGATGGTAGATCATTAAAATCACATTCTTGGCATCAAAATATAAAAAGGCATTGCACACATTTTTCCAATTGCCTATCTTTGTCATTAACACTATTCATAACTGATGACAATTTTAACAATTGCCTATCTTTGTCATAATTGATATTTATAACAGGTGACAATTTTACCAATTGCCTATCTTTGTCATTAATGATATTTATAACTGGTGACAATTTTACCAATTGCCTATCTTTGCTATAACTGTTGATTTCTATATTTTAAGTTATTTCCTTTCTATGTTGATCACAGTTATTTTATCACTGATGTTAATTTCTCTAGAAATTTATAATAATTATACTTGATGTCATATTCCATATCGTACCAATAATTTACTGAAACGAGAAATAAATTACAATATATTATATACTATCAAATTAGAATGGGGCTTAAGGTTCTACTCTGCTGCCACAATCTGATTAAAATACAGATCTATATTTCGTTTGTTTTTTTTATATTTTCGATGGTCTCTACTACAAGAAGATACTTGTATTGGGAGGTCGCATCAGGGGCCATACGAGCGGCTTTTGACCCTATGATGTCAGCCATTGATTAATCAATCAGCGTTGACGTTTCTAGTGGTTTACCCACAGTTCCATGCAAAGCACGCCAAGAACTCGCTGTAACAGACCCTTTCATTGGCTAATTCCTCACATCAACTAGAACACCTGTTATATAACAACTCTTCCAAATCCTAGTGTTGTGATAACAAGTAAAACAAAATTTTGAACTATAAAAAATCAGATTGCTGCTGCACCAACTGGCCATGGCCTGATAAAGACAGGCATGTACATACCTGTGCTATGAGGGAAATTTTGCCCGGAAAGCGGCACTACGGCCTACTTTTATATCGAATTCCAACTGTCAAGAGATTTTTTACGTGCACGCCAATGTGTACACGAGACCTCGGTTTTTCGTCCCATCCGAACGACTAGACAGCTGTCCTTGTCAGGCCCTCCGTCCTGCATCACTGACAAGGGAGAACCACGCCGGAAAATCTGGATGAACTTTCTCGGCCAATGCAGGGATCGAACACCCGACCTCCAGGCTAGCGACCCAGGGTCTTACCCACTTAGCTACCGTGATCCCCAACTTTAAAGGAGCTAAACTGACACAAATGGCTCGCAACCCATATAAATATATATACTGATTTACATTTAATCATTTCTGTTTATACTCTAATTTCAAACCAGTTATGTTCGGCGAAATACGCCAGAAGTCTCAATGGAATGGCAATCTCTAGTGTCTGGTTATTCCAGTCTACACCAAAAGTATTTATTGTGGAATATGTCTAACTTCGTTCTTCGAGTCCCTTGTTACATATGGCGCTAAAACGCATTATGGTAGTGTACCGATGGTAAAATGTTTATTTTGTCTTCCGTATTGGATATCAAAAGCCCATCTTTTCCGGGTAAGATCACATCAAAGTTGATTTAAATTGACAAATAATTCGGATGATATTGAGTTAGAGACTTAGCTACTTTAAACTCCCTTATCGCGAGAAGGAACAGGCTACAGGAAATCACTCCTACTTACCAGCAATACACCCGTGTGATTGTTGAACGTGATGAAACCATAGCGAAGGTAAATAAAGAGTTTCACCAGCTCTCACAGTTACCTCCCTTGGTGTGGCCTTGTTATACTGTGGATAAGATACTGTATCTGGATGTAATGGATCAATGGCGATCCAAGGAACCTTAAAAAAATATGAGATATTTGTTTGGGTTTTAATGGGGGCTTAACGTCCTACAATTCTGCTTCGACTGGGCTAATGAAATGGAGTTTAACGTCCTACTGTTCCGACTGGGCTAATGAAGACGGGCATACGCCATAAAGTGTGCTATGAGGTAAATTTTGCACATCAGCGATCCCGACGACTGTACATGTAAATGCTGGTCCCTTTACCCGTACGTCAATGTGTGCACGGGATCTCAAGTTTTTCCTCCCCCCTCTCTCTCTCTCACCCCCCCCCCCCCCTTAGATCCTCGTCCTGCTTGGATGTGATCAGAGGAAGCTAGGAATGAAATAATCCACACAACTCTTAATTTAATTAAAAGTAAACACAGAAATCTATACATGTCACACTTTTAAATTATTGTATTTCAGAATGGAGAGATATTTCATTCCATTTGTCGCTGAAATATATTTAAAGTTTTACCTGTGTTGTATTTGGATCATCAACAACTGACCATATTCCATCTTCCTGTTTAAATATTCCAGTTGGGTAATCTTCTATAAATTATATAAAATCAATGGCTGTGATAGTTGTATAGATGGATAAAAGATGGTTGGAATAAAATGGGGTTTAACATTCTACCTTTACCTTTCGGCACCAACTGGGATAATGAAATCAAATAAAATGGGGTTTACGTCCTACTGTTCTGCTCCGACTGGGACAATAAAGCCGGCGATTGGGCTAATGAAGACGGGTATACACGATAGTTGTAAGTATAGTGACAATGCTAAACAAGACATACATAAGACCATATGGTAAATCAGAGGGTGGTATATAAACCTTCCATAATGTGTATATACGGTAAATCAGAGGTTGGTATAATATAAGCCTACAATATGGTATATACGGTAAATCAGAGGGTGGTATAAAACCATATGGTATGTACGGTAAATCAGAGGGTGGTATAATATAAGCCTACCATATGGTAAATACGGTAAATCAGAGGTTGGTATAAACCTACTATATGGTATATAAGCCTACCATATGGTATATACGGTAAATAATAGGGTGGTATATAACCTACCATATTTTATATATGGTAAATCAGAGGGTGGTATATAAACCTACCATATGGTATATATGGTAAATCAGAGGGTGGTAAAAACCTACCATATGGTATATACGGTAAATCAGAGGGTGGTATAAAACCATATGGTATATACGGTAAATCAGAGGGTGGTATAATTAACCTACCATATGGTATATACGGTAAATCAGTAGGTGGTATCAGGATAAATTTTTTCCAACCGGATATTACGCAATACATATTTTCATAATGATCCCGATGCACTGAAATGTAAAAAGAAATCAAAAGAATAATACATAACTTATCGACCCGAACAAGATCATTTCGAGACTAACATATGGTTCAATTTTATTTCATTAATTCGCTTGTGCGTAGGGGTCTTTAGCAGTGGGAGCAAACCGGAGGCAGAAGTAACCCCACGAGGTTGGACAGGCGACCCGGAGAAAACCCACGAGGTTGGACAGGCAACCCCTATCCTTGTCACGTACAACCGGGGAATGAAAACCACGCCACTTGATTCAATGACAGACCTTATGAAGCAACGTGCACGCGTTAATCCACCCCCCCACCCGCTTTCTCTCAAACTTATCAGATGTTGCGGCTCTCCCGTGACAGTAACAATTGGTCGTTTTTTTTGTCACCTTATAGATAAACATCATATTCATTAATGATGTTTATTGCATTTATTACCCGCTATATCATTATACTACTGGTACTGTACATCTAATGGGGGTTGGATGTCCGAATGTTTAGCGCGTGCGCGCTGTAACATAAGGTCTATCATTGAGTCAAATGGGGTGGTTTCGATTCCCCGGTTGTACGTGACAAGGAGTAGCCCTACGCCCCAGCGAATTATTGAAATAAAATTGAACCATGTGTTAGTCCCGAAATGACCTAGTTTGTGTCGAGTGGACGTTAAACCCCATTTATCTCTCTGTAGATCTAATGAAATTTAAAATCTAAAAAACGACGTTGTCCCAAGAAATAAAATTAAAGTAATAAAATAATGCGATCTATATTGTATAACATATTATACAAGACAACTTACTTGATGTTACAGCTCGACCGTCTCCCATCCAGAAATTAACAGCATCTGGTTGTTTACCTATAATAGTTACATTATTTACATTATACATACAGGGGTAGCTCGGGCCAGGGAGTAACGAGGAATTGGTGGCGTTGGACTACCGCCTCCGGGCTTTTGGCCCCGGGCGAAGTCGGGTGCCGTCTAGTATACATATATGAATGAATTTTCTGCACCGACTGTGCTAATGAGAGAGAGAGAAAGAGATGGGGTTTAACGTCCACTCGACACAAACTAGGTCATTTCGGGACTAACACATGGTTTAATTTTATTTCAATAATTCGCTAGGGCGCAGGGCTACTCCTTGTCACGTAACACCGGGGATTAGAAACCACGCCAGTTGACTTAATGACAAACACTATGGTACAGCGCGCACGTGCTAACCATTCAGCCACCCAACCCCTCCATGTGCCAATGATGACGGACATATGCCACATAGTGTGCTAAGAAGAACATTTTGCCGGGATAGTGGAGCTACGGTTTACTTTTGTTTAGAATTCCTTCTGTCAAAGTTTGTCAATTTTTTTGGGACATCCACGCCAATAGGACCTCGGTGTTCAGTATCATCCAAAAAACAAGACCTTGTTCCTTGTTAGTTGTTAGGCCCTCCGTCCTGCACCACTGACAAGGGGGAGCCACACCAGAAATTCCAGTTTAACTTTCTCGGCCAAATCCGGGTGACAACTCGAGACTTCCTCATTGACGTGTCAGCCTCTTAGTCACATCAGTGTTGATGTTTCTAGTGGGTTACCCACAGTTCCGTGCACATCACGCCAAAAACTCGCCATAACAAACCGTTTCATTGGCTAACCCCTCACATCAACCAGAACGCCTGTTATAGAACAGCTCTTCCAGATCGTAGTGTTGTCAAGACAAGCAACCCGAAATTTTGAACTATAAAAAAACGAAACGAAATAGGATCTGCGTTTTAATCAAATTGCCTATGCCCAAGTACATCACCGGGTGCCAACCCGAAACTTCCTCATTGATGAGCCAGTCTCTTAGCCACTGAGCCACCGCGGCTCCATGATATACTTGGGTATAATCATCCAATAACCTCCTATCTCTACTAGTAAATATATTATTACCAAAAGCCTCCTCTCCTATTTTCAAATTACAATCTACATCTTTCAGTATCTCTGTAAACTCATCAGTTAGATTAGAATTCTGTTTCTGGATATAAAAGACTTCTTTTCCTGGAGAGTCCAGGATGTCCAGGAACCTTGACATTGACATCAAACGTTCTTCTGGCATTACAAATTTACCGTCATGAATAGCGTCTGCATAACCATTTGGTGTTACCGTGGCCGTTACTTGTAGATTTCCTATAGTTTCTCTGTATGTATAATAACATCGTACAAGTATTAGTTCATTATTCTTTATTATTAATAATGTTAAAGGGACTATCCCGATTTGAACAGAGCCTCAAAAATAAAAGTCCCAGTACGTATGCAATTTAAGCGCCAAAATATAGATGAATGGTGTATTTACCATATCTCAAAATTTCAGCTCAAAATATTGAGTTGTTTGGACGTGAAAGATTTTGGGCCAGTTTTTTCGTTGGGTGATCTGATAATCGATACCCGTTCCCTTAGAGGTCTATACAGTGAATGACTGATGTGCTATACTTGATAACGAAAGGTAAATTTCACCTACACATTATTTTTATAAAATAAAAGTCTGGTACACCGGTCTCCATTTCCAGATGAAGACTGACAGGTTTAAGTTGTTTGAAAACGTATCACAAATATTGAGTTAGTTGCTCGGCCCTTAGGTAGAGTATTTTAAGGGGTTTTAACACAAAATTAGGCAGTTTTATTTTCCCAAAAATTATCGGGATTGGCCCTTTAAAGATGTATTATGCAAGAGAGAGAGAGAGAGAGAGTGAGAGGGGTTTAACGTCCACTCGACACAAACCAGGTCATTTCGGGACTAACATATGGTTCAATTTTATTTCAATAATTCGTATGTGCGTAGAGTCTATAGCAGTGGGAAGAAACCGGAGGACCCGGAGAAAACCCATAGTCGACCGAACTCCTTGTCACGTCCAACCGAGAAATCGAAACCATGTCAGTTGACTTAATGACAGATCTTATGATACAACGCCCACGCTAACCATTCGGTCACCCCTCCCCCCCCTTACAATCCACCTAGAGGTGTTGAGTACTTTGAATCCAAGCTGGGAGATTATATAGGCCTACCTATATTTTGCTTTCTGAACTGAGTAAAAAAAATTCTCAAACATCCAGGCTGAAACTGATTAGAAATGAAATGAAATGGGGTTTAACGTCCTACTGTTCTGCTCCGACTGGGCTAATGAAGACGCACATATGCCATGCAGTGTGCTATGAGGGAAATTTTGCCCAGGCAGCAGCACTATGGCCTGCTCTTTTACGTAAACTGATTAGAAGCTTTCTCACTAATAAGTTTGCCCGAAGACATTTCAATAAATGGAGTTATCCCCCTTTAATCGTAGTACTCGCGAGAACTGACCTGAAATATGATGGCCCCCATTTTCGCAGGGCTGACCAGTGGTTAATAAGATCTCTGATGACAACGGGTTTATTGGGAGAAATGAAGTCTCTATAAAACTGGAGAGGTGTAAGTGGAGAATCTAACACAGCCACCGTCTGATCCAGGTATAACTCTACAAATAAAACACAAACAGAAAAGGTTAATTAATATTTATATTTAGAATCATTATTCTATAAAAGAACAAAAACAACCCAAAACCCCGAAAAATTTAAAAATATTTATCTTTATGAAAACAAGGTAATCTAGAAATTGATACAAATTGTGTAGCATTAGTGTTAGAAAATATATTTCGATTAATTTGTTTCAGAATGAGAATTTAACAGTTCATTGAAAGGCATAAATACGAAATTTACCATTTGCCTCTGCTGTTAAAGAGTCTATGCAGGACTGTAATGTTGTCTTCAATTCTTCTGAATCTGTTTTACTCGTTAGCTTGTCTCCGTCCATTCAATAGTTCAGTCAAAACCCTCGAAACATTATCATGTCGGATTTCTATTTATACCGGATGTGCAAACGAAAGTAGGCAAATGAAAATACTGTCTGGTGGTTTTTCTTCCGAAACGAAACAAGACAAAAATGTACCTGTACACAAATTATGTACAATTTGCCAATTATGTGGTTAGTATTTAAAAATACGTGTGTTGATTTTATACAAACCCTCTTATTAAAAAATTGTGAATTTTGTACTTTGATTGGCCTATTAAAATGAAAATGAAATGAAACGAAATTGGGTTTAACGTCCAAATGTTCAATGTTATTGTGTGATTACGTTATCCAAGCATAGAAAAACAAAGTTAAATAATGAACTTTATTTTCATTAGATTTGAACTGGGTGTGATTTTACAATAATTTAAACATTGGGAGTGATATCCTTTGAGATGGGCGAAAAATATAAATATATTAAAATGTTAAAAATCTTGAAATTTCCATGTTTTTGATATTAAATCAAAATTTAATAGTACTCCCCCGGTCTGATATTGATGCATAATTGTTGAGTACGAATAAAAAAGTTCTTAGAAGGTTTTGTTTTCATGATGATCAGGGGCCTGTTCCACAAAATTTTAACTAAGATAAAATCCAAATTTTAATAATTTGATTGGATAATATTAGATTGATTTTAGTGCTTAGCCAATCAAAATTGAAGTATCTACTAAAATTTGGATTTTATCTTTAGTTAAAATTTCGTGAAACAGGGCCCAGGTAATTAGACGTATTAAAATCAATCCATTCAATTCGGCAAAAAAAATAAATGAAAAAAAAAAAATTTAAAAAAAAAATATTATCATAATTTACTGTTCAAATTTAATGGAAATAAAAAATGAAGGGGTAAAATATCAAACACCGACCTTTCCTCATTGATAGACACGTGTACATGCAACATTTTCCCAAAGTGCCATATTTTTTTGTGGAAGGCTCCTATACGTGGTTATTGTTTGAAAAAGAGGGATTTTAGTTATTTTCCTGTGTGAGTCGATTTTCAAAGCTAATTTTACAAGGAACCGACAAAGATATGGTTTTTAATTATGTTTGTTCAAACAATACCCATTGATACATTATACATGTGATAAGTAACAACTTCTAATATAGTGTAGCTAGTAAAACTTCTACACTATATCCAAATATTAACACAAGGTACACATATGGATACACAATTACTGAGTTTAATACTAAGCAACGTTTCGACAAGGTTACTCTCGTCTTTATCATGCAAATGATACAGGTATATGGATAGTAGGCAAATATATACAGAATATGCAACAAAGATAAGAATAAAAATGTCAAATTGTTGCATAATCTAATATACTTGCCCTCTGATTTCACAATCTGGTTCATTAGTCTGGTAGCCACATCTCCATATTGATGACGTATATCTTCTTTGATTGGCATTTAGTAATTGGACATATTAACACAAGGTACAATTTTATGGATACACATTTACTGAGTTTAATACCAGATTGTGAAATCAGAGGGCAAGTATATTAGATTATGCAACAATTTGATTTTTTTATTCTTATCTTTGTTCCCGAGGAATTTACAAGGCCAACATCAGGATCTCCGGGTTTATGAGCAAGCGACTTACTCACTGAGCCACCGCGTAGGGTGATAACGCTCACTCGACACTTATCTAACCTGCTTAATTTTGGACTAACATACGGTAAATTTTAATTTTAATTTTAATAGTTTTTAGAAATGGCCAACACCCGGAACCCGGGTCCTTCTAGTTGGTGAGTCGACGCCTTATTCTCTCATCCACAGCGTTAACTTTACCGTAGAGAGAGAGAGGGAGAGGGAGAGAGAGAGAGAGAGAGCGATCTAAACTGGATACTTAATCAAACCAAAGCGGGTACTGGATCAAAATGGTAATCGAGCCATGTCGGGTACCGGATCAGTACGGGTGCCATATCAAACCGGATGGAGCCTAGCCCAACACTAACGACGACAACCCAGGGCGTAGCCGGTTACAGTAGACTATAGAACATAAATACACAAGCTTTGGATTGATATAATTTGATAAGAAATGGATTGATAAAATTTGAGAGAGAGAGAGAGAGAGTTTAACGTCCACACGACACAAAACTAGGTCATTTCTAAACTAACATATGGTTCAATTTTATTTCAACAATTCGCTTGCGCGTAGGGGTATTTAGCAATGGGAGAAAACCGGAGGACCCGGAGAAAACCCACGAGGTTGGACAGGCGACCCTACTCCTTGTCACGTACGCCCTGGGATTCGAAACCACACCAGCTGACTCAATGACAAACCTAACCATTTGGCCATCCAACTCCCCTTAACTTTTCTTTAAAGGCTAAATACCACTCAATAATATGTCCCAATCTTTATTCTGGTCAACAAATTGTACTATTGTACAGTATTCAAATTAATTGATGATACAAATTTCATCTTAACACACCTAATTTAAAAAATTGGAAAAATTCAACTAAATGATTTGAAAAGCCTAACGTAAACCTTTTCAAATGTGACTTGGATTTAAAAATATTTTCGAACCCTCTGGACAAGTAAAATAGGATGTAATGGATAATTTAGACAACAGGTAGAACACTTAAACATCTAATACTTAGAATAAGGCTAATATTTATTTACAGGAGCTGTCAAGCCAGCAAGAGTGTTATTGTGCCTTTAAATATAAGTGTTCAAGTACAGTTAGGTTAAATAACAAAGATGTTGCAACACACCTGATCTGTTAAAAACACACAAGATGTCGGTAAACCGATGTTTTATGTCTTATACAAATGTCAATACACAGAGGGGTGAATATAATCGATTTGAATAAATAAGAAAAGTTTATCGTTGATATATGAGAAAATACTATTCGAGCTGCAATATATGTTGTGTGCAAAATCAGGGGGCCAGTGCGTCAATCCATTTTCCGTTTGCCACAGCAGTCGAGTTGTAAAGGCACTGACCTCTGAACCAAAATGTCCCGGGTTCAAATTAAGGCGAGATATTTCAAGTCCTGTTCTCGTTTGTCAGGGGCGGACAAGGAAAGCGTGTATAGTTATTCGGAATGGTATGGAAACGTGTACTCTTATATCGAATTCCAACTGCCAGGGATCTTTTACGTGCATTCCAATGTATACACGGGACCTCGGTTTTTTGTATCATCCGAAGGACTAGACAACTGTTCTTGTCAGGCCCTTCGTCCGCGTGCAATTAAAAAAAAATGTTGGCAAAGCAGCTGGAAACGCCTCGGCCCGGGTCGTCTAACGCGTACACTTTTAGATCATAAGGTCTGCCATTGAGTCAAGTGACAAGGTTTCAAACTCGCCAGTCTAATCATGGGGAGAGTTGGGCTTCCCCGCGTCTTATCAACAGCCAAAATATACCATTTAGTCTCGAACTACCGTAGTTTGTGGTGTGTCGATCGCCCTCTCACCTCTGAGATGGGGTGGGGTTGGATGGCCGAATGGTTAGCACGTGTGCGCTGTATCACAAGGTCTGTCATTGAGTCATCTGGCGTAGTTTCGATTCCCCGGTTGTACGTGACAAGGAGTAGGTTTGCCTGTCCAAACTCGTGGGTTTTCTCCGGGTCCTCCGGTTTCCTCCCACTGATAAAGTCCCGTACGCGCAAGAGAATTATTGAAATAAAATTGAACCATATGTTAGCCCCAAAATGACCTAGTGTGTGTCGATTGGACGTTAAACCATCTCTCTCTCTCTCTCTCTCTCTCTCTCCCTCCAAAGTAGCCATGATAAATATTCATTCCACCACCTAGCTGATATGATACACCTGTTATATACACTAATTATTACCGTTACTTTTTATGTATGCAATGACCTCTGTTTTATATACAGTGACCCCCTGACTTTAGTACACCATCATTATTCCCTCTTCACTTGGCGAATATCTATTTTCTTCAATAATTATTATCAATTCTCTAATGACTATTAAATACGTCACGACAGCCTTTTATAAAATCATTACACGAAACGAAATATATTTTCATCGCGTAATGTCAATAATAATGTTTTTCATTATATGGCTGACCCCACTTCCACTACATAAACCGAAACGAAATTCAAATGATAACAAAAAAGAAAAAAAAAATCAATTAATGAACGAAATTATGATTGACCATCAATCAAAAAATGACAATTTATTATCTTTTAATCGACAAATGTTCGTAAATATGGACCAGGCGCTTAATAGGTGGAGTGTAGCGTAGATTGTATAAAAGATTGAATAAAAAGCAATTAAGGGCTCGCCTGTACGCAAACAGTGTACGAACAACGGAATGTGACAATACTATTTAAGGAGTAATCGGTCTCAATTAAGCCAAGCTAGTTATTCAATATTTAGTTTTCATATCTTTCAATATCACAGTTGACAGAATGACATACAACCAATATCTCATAATTCATATTACTTCAATACGAAAAATGTAATAAAATAGGGTTTAACCTGCTACTGTTTTGCTCCGACTGGGATAATGAAAGGCATACGCCATACTGTGTACTATCATGGAAATTTTGCCCGGGCAGCGGCATTATTGCCTACTCTTATATCGTTTCTAACTGCCAAGGGATCTTTAACGTACACGTGAGACCTCGATTTTTCGTCCCATTCGAACGACTAGACAGCTGTTTTTGTCAGGGCCTCGTCCTGTACTACGGACAAGGGGAGACCTCGCCGGAATATCCTGATGAACTTTCTCGGCAGTTGGAATTCGATATAAGAGTAGGCCATACTGCCGCTGGCCGGGCAAAAATTTCCCTCATAGTACACTGCCTGGCGTATGCCCGTATTCATTAGCCCAGTCGGAGCAGAACCGTAGGACGTTAAACCCCATTTCATTTTTATTTTTAGAACGCCATCCATGATAGTTTAGAGAGAGAGAGGAGAGAGAGAGAGAGAGAGAGAGAGAGAGAGATGTGTTATAATTCCATTTCAACATATGGAAGTAAAAGAAACTGGAAAAAAACCCACGAGGTTAGACATGCCACCATTCCGTCGCTTACAAGCTAAAAATTAGCCACCAATCCATCAAC